GAAAAGAGGCAGCCAGCAACATGCAGAGGGCAAAGGAAGAGTGAAATTTTGACTTTTATTGGAACCTCGTCTGATCAATTTAAAGAAATGTACCCCAAAACCTGGGACTCCTATATTGTATTTGGTCTTAGAAGAATTCAATGCAAAATCTCAAATCAGGAGTTGAGTGTAATTACTCTGCATAGTGACTTGGGAACTTTGAATGGGCACAAAGTAAGCTTTCCCTCTCTAGTTTTGTACGTAGAAAGAGCAGGTGAGAAAGTAGGGGACCAGCCTTTGGGTGATTATGCATTCTCTCTGTTCCTTACAAAGTGCACAAATGCAGGTACAGAGGCTAAGACACGCCGGGTTATGGAGGAGACAGGGTTGCACCTCTTACTCCTGTCCCTGTGTGTGGACGGTGTCCTCCCATTCACTGCATTGTCCCTGGACAGCTCTGTGCACCAGCATGGGGCCTGAGCCTGTGATTAAGGGAGAAAGGCACTGTATTTATAGTCAGCAAAGCCCAGCCAGGGTCGGACCAGTGAGTCCAAGACTGAGAACTCTCTGGAAACTCATGATGTGGCCTGGTGAGCGATATAAAACTTCATGCAAAGACAGCAGTGCTAGTTCCTGCACAAAAGCAAGCGATGGTTTATCCAACAAGTGTCTCATCAGTTCTGGTTCTGGAACGTGACGCCCAGAAGTCCAAGGTGCACCTGGGAAGATAAGCACTCAGCTGTGGGTGCAGTGTGACCCTGCAGAGCTGCCAGTGCCTTGACCTTGTTCACTGGCTTCCTTAGTGGTTGGCTTTGGTCACTTCCAGACTCTGCCGACATCTGGCCTCTGGTTTCATGCACCTTGGAGTTCTCTTTTTCCAAGGTTAGCCCAGTGTCCTGTAAACATATACATGTTATTTCCCTGCAACAAGCAGAAGTAACAGTTTCTTCAGGCCTGACCCAGATTTTGGGGAGGAACTTAAGAAAAAACATTATGAAAAGTATGTCTAATGCTAAACCTTAGACTCCTAGGCCATTCTTTTTTTTTTTTTTTTTTTAATATTTATTTATTTGTGTGTGTGGCCAGCTCAGTCTACCAGGGGGCGGGGCTGGCTGGCATGTGGTGCTGGGGAATTGAACCGCGGTCCCTTGTACTTTGCTAAGCTTGTTCTAAGTAGGTGCTTTAGACCACTGAGCCATCTCACCAGCCCAATTCTTTTTGTTTTGTTTTGTTTGTTTTTGTGGAACCGGGGATTGAACTCAGGCTCTTGCACTTGCTAGGCAAGCGATTATTCAACTGAGCCATCTCCCCGGCCCTTCCTAGGCCATTCTGATTAGCTGTATGAAGAGGGAGAAAGTATCTGAATCTGAATTATGCTGGATATGTGCAGTACAGGACAGTACTAACCAGTTTCCAGGTAATTCACAAACTATCACTGGGACAAGATGCCAACCCCTAAGAAGATCACCAGCAAAACTAAAACAATGTCAGATGAATGGCATGCAGGGTGTTCGTTCAGCACTGGGCAAATGGCTGGCCTAGGGTTCCAGGTAGAAGCCCAAGCTGAAACTGTGGCTCCAGGTATGTGGGGGACTGAGACTGGTAGAAGATGCCAGCGAGGCATCCAGGAGCCAAGGACATGAGGCTCAAGCCCATGGGCATGCATGGAATGGAGACCATATTAGGGCAGACTGGGGGATCAAATTTGGAGGAAGCTGGACTACAGAGCTGCTGTAAGATTTAAATTGATTTTTTTTTTCGGTACTGGGGATTGAACTCAGGACCTTGCGCTTGCCAGGCAAGCGCTTATTCTACTGAGCCATCTCCCTGACCCCTTGCTGTAAGATTTAGAGAGTGAGAGTGACCCTAAAACTCGAAGTGGCAAACATTTTAAAAAGTAGATGAAGCTAAATTATGCAAGACTGGGTATAGAACTCTTGCAGTATGGGTGTAGTGGGGGTCTCATCTGATTAAAAAGCTTTTTCACAGCAAGAGAAACCACCAACGGAGTGAAGAGAAAACCCACAAAGTGGGGAAAAAAATTTTGCCAGGTGTTCCTAATACCTAGACTATATAAAAAACTAAAAAAAAAAAAAATCAAATTTAAAGACCCGATCCAAAAATTAGTGTCTGATAAACATTTCTCAGACAAAAACATAGAAATAAGTATGAAAGGAGAAATATATGTAAACAAGTATGGCAAAATAAGTACATGAAAAACGTTCAACATCACTGGTCATTCGCAAGATGCAAATTATTTTATTTATTTATTTTTTGGGGGAACCGAGGATTGAACTTAGGCCCTCGCACTTGCCAGGCTAGCACTTATCCCACTGAGCCATCTCCCCTGCCCCATGAGATGCAAATTAAAACAATGCTGAGATTCCATCTCACCCTAGAAGGAATGGCCTGCATCAAGAAATCAACCAATAACAAATGCTGGCAGGGTTGTAGGGAAAAAGCCTTCTCCACAGCAGGTGGGAGGATAACTGGTGCAACCACCATGGGAAATCAGTCTAGAGATTCCTCAAAAAAACTAGGACTAGCAGTTTCATTTGACCCAGTTATTTCCCTTCTTGGTATATTCTTGAAAGAATTAAAAGCATCATCTCACAGCAATATATGCACATCCATGTTTACAGTGGCACAGCTTATAATAGCTAGATCTTGGAAACAGTCCAAATGTCCATTAACTAATGAATAAAAATTTGTTTTGTTTTGTTTAACACAATGGAGTAGCACTCTGCTGTAAAGAAGGATAAGCTAAGTGGATGCACCTTATGACCGTAGTCTTAAGTGAACTAAATCTGACACGTATGTAAACGCTACGTCATTTCTCAGGTGTGAGAAACTGAAAGTGTACATAATGACCAAAATCTGTAATAGATATTGGGAAATGGGAACTATTCAAATGAAGAAGGGAACTAAGATCAGGAGAAGGGGAAAAGAAAGGAAGGAAAATGGAAAAAAAAAAAAACTTTTGTAAAAAAGGAAGGGAAGAGGAGTTGAAGGGAGAGGAGAGGAGTGGGGAAAAAAGGGGAAGCAAGGTATATCATGTACAACATAAATTCCCTATGATGAATCTGATCAAAAACAACAATAAACTCTGAGGGATCTCACTCTTGGGCAGAGGAGTCAAAACCTAAACACTTGACAAACGCAGGGACTGCTGCTGAGGACTTGGCAGAAGAGGAAGGGGACAGGTGCCTGGGGAGGGATGCTCTTTGTGGTGGGGAGGGTGTTTTGAGGCTGGAGAGGACAGTCCTCCGTGGTCACCAGAATGTAAAGAAGTGACTGGTGTGGGGACGGGGACCAGTCTAAAGAGCAAAGTAGGAGGGGAGGCCGTCAGTGGCTCTGAGGTCTCTGGCTGCCGTAAGGGGGACAATGATGGTGCTACTGACAGAAATGGAGGTCAGCATGGGAACTGGCTCTAGAAGACACAGGATGGCAGCCAGCTTTCTGTTACCACCACCAAAATACCTGAGGAAATCAGCCAGCAGAGGAAGAGCTCAATTTGGCTCACAGTTCTACAGGCCCAAGTCCAATATGTCACTGTGCAAGTCAGCAGATAAAAGGGAGCTACCCACAGCAAGGTAGCTGCACTTCTCATGGTGTCCCAAAGCAGGGAGGGAGAGAGGGGGACGATGGGAGGCTGAGGCAGGGGGACGGCAAGTCTGACACTAGCGTGGGCAACTTAACAAGACCCTGCCTCAAAGCAAAAAATAAAAGGGGCGGGGATACAGTGTAGTGGTAAAGTGTCCTTAAATTTAATCCTGAGTGCCACCAAAAACATAAAATCTGAGAGGAAGAGTAGGGGATCACACATAGGGCAGGGAGGGATCGAGGGCAGGCACAGGCAGAGAGAGGAGGCAGAGAACTGGGGCGCATTCAAGAAGAAAGCTACTTCCAACATGTGGCCAGAAGCTGGGAAGGTGACACACAATGAGACCCAGTCCCCAACCGGGGCCGGGGTTCAGGTTGTAGCTCAATTCAAAGGTCCCTGGTTCAATTTCCCAGTGCTGCAAAATCAATACACAGACAGGAGAAGCGCGGATGGCAATGTACACAGGAACTTACACAGGCCGTGGGGTTGGATGAACACACAGATCTAGGTGTGCCGGGCCAGTGCTAGCTCTGGGGTGCGGGCCTGAAGCCATCCCTTGGGGAACCCCAGGTCCTAGGGCAGAGGATGAAGCCTGGGGGTGTGTTCACTCCCCGGGAGCCAGCATCTGCAAACTCCTTGCACAGGGAAGGAAGAGGGCCAGGGAAGGGTAAGGGGCAGTGTAGAGTTCGGAGCTGATTGCTCAGTTAAAAATGTTGACATTTAAAGGAAAGTGGAATCTGGAAAAATAACCTGGGGGGAGTCTTGCAACATCCCTCCTCATCCCTGCACCAAGAAGAGTTGGGTTTTTCAGGCAACAGAAACAGCTGAAGAGCGAGCAAAACGTGGGGGGGGGGGTAGTGTTATGGGCGTCAACAGCGTACTCCCCACTCCCAAAGGCTCAGGAGCTACCATTCAGTGTAGCTTGAAAAAGCGACAACAAGGTGCCGAAGCGTCGGGTTTATGGCTCCCACCGGCTGAGGGAGGAAGCGCTGTGGGAGTCAGAGAAGACTACTGCGGGGAGGCGGCGCCCGCAAAGGCTTCTTGGAGGAGGTGGCTTTTAGCTCTGGCCCGGACCGGCGGCGAGGCGAGGTCCGGGCACGCCCCGCACCGCGCGCCCAGCCAGCTTCCTCCGACACCAGCGCCCCGCCCCTCCCGCAGCGCACTTTCCCCGCCCGCTTCCCGCGAGCTGTCCAGCAGAACGCGGGTTCCCAGCACTGACGTCAGTGAGATATGACCTCAGCGCCGGGGAGGCGGGGGCGGGCGCGGGGGCGGGCGCGGGCACGAGGGGGGCGGGGCGGGGCGACGATGTCCCCGCCCACATCCGCTGGCTGCGTCCAATGGGCGCCGCCGCCGGCTCTCCCGCCCCCGCAGACAGTATGAAAGGCAGCGCTGGGAAAAGCCCGGGCAGAGCCCTGAGAGGCGCCTAGGCTAGCGGGTGTTGGCCAGTAACGACAGTGCAAGGCGAGCTGCTCCACTGTAATCCACGAGCGAGTCATGAGCCACGGGAAGAGAACCGATATGCTCCCAGAGATCGCCGCCGCAGTGGGGTTCCTCTCCAGCCTCCTGAGGACCCGGGGCTGCGTGAGTGAGCAGCGACTTAAGGTTTTCAGCGGTGCGCTCCAGGAGGCACTAACAGGTGAGCGCGCTGCTTTGGGAGCCGCCAACTCACACTCTCCTTGCTTCGGGCGTCTTTATCCCCCTTGGGTCTCCCAAGGGAGGTGCTCCCGGATTCGATGGCCCTCCTCGGACTCCCGGGACACATTGTTCCATCCCCTGGGGCAGCTCCCATTCCTCAGTGCTTGATCGGGTCTCTGCTCTCCGGCGCAGACTCCACTTTGTGTTACCAAGAACCCAGCGTAGACTCCGGAAGAGGGTTTGCTTGCGGGTCTGAGTGCCGGCTCAAGTTCGTGCCTGGACCCTTGAGACCTCGAGACCCTCGCGGGATGCTACAGGCTTCCCAGCCGTCTGGAATCTATATGAGTAGCTGAGTCTTCTGAACGCCTTGGAAGCCTATCCGTGGTTCACCCGGCCGATTGCCTGCCCATTCCAAGCTGGAATACAGGCCCCTGTGTATTTGTTCATTTTGGTCCCTCTTAGCCATCTGCCAGCTATTGTGGTACAGAAGAGAGCCTAACTGTGCAGCCTGTGTGTATGTGTGTTGGGGAGGTGGGGCTTGAGACGGGGAGCGTGACCAGAGATAAGAGACGGGCAGGCTGGTTGGGGAGAGACCTATCTCCCAGCTGTTCCTAGCGGCAGCCGTCTGGGGCGGTGATAGCCATCTCTGAACGCAGGCACAGATCCAGCCTTGGGAGGAGCAACAGCTGTTTCATCAAAACAACCCATTTGTTGTCCCTTGGCCACTGCTAAGAATCTTAGGCTCTTCTAAGTGAGGCAGGGGGCCCACTGGGGACAGGGTGGAAGGCCTGGTGACTTGCTATGGACCCGATGGTGTTGGCAGCCTTCCTGACTTTGTGGGCCAGAAAGATGGCTCAGTAGAATAAGTGCTTCCCTGGCAAGTGCAAGGGCCTGTGTTCAATCCCTAGTTCTGAAAAAAAAAAAAAAAAGAAAGAAAAGAAAAAGAAAAAAGAAACTTCAGCTCACAGATCTCCAGAGGCCCTGCCTGGACATGCCAGCCCTGGGGCACGCCCTTCCCTCCTTAAACTGGGGGATGTGCCAAAAGAAATCCAGTTGGCCACTTGAGAGTACCATACTGCGGAGCTCTGACACCCTCTTTCCACACACACACACACACACACACACACACCCTCTCTGACCTGGGAGGGGCCAAGGAGTTTCTTTAGCTCCCATAAATTCTTTTTCTGCTAATTGGTTTTAGAAGGGTCCAGGTAGAACTATTACTTTCTTTACCTAAATTCATTAGGCTCCTTCCTCTGCTTCACCCTCACTCCATTGTTGTGATTACATCCATGGTCTGGCTCTTCTTAACTGGCATGTCCCCATTTTTGCCTCCACAGAGCACTACAGACACCACTGGTTTCCAGAAAAGCCATCCAAGGGCTCTGGCTACCGCTGCATCCGCATCAACCACAAGATGGACCCCATCATCAGCAAAGTGGCCAGCCAGATTGGACTCAGCCAACCCCAGCTACACTGGCTGCTGCCCAGTGAGCTGACCCTGTGGGTGGACCCCTATGAGGTGTCCTACCGCATCGGCGAGGATGGTTCCATCTGTGTCCTGTATGAGGAAGCTCCAGTGGCCACGTCCTGTGGGCTCCTCACCTGTAAGAACCAAATCATGCTGGGCAGGAGCAGCCCCTCGAAGAACTACGTGATGGCTGTCTCCAGCTAGACTCCCACGTCCCCACCCTGACACTCTACTGTACTCATTCAGCTGTGACAACAGGCCACTGCATACCTCAACCTGGGGAACTGTATTTTTAAATGAAGAGCTATTTATATATATTATTTTTTTTAAGAAAAGAGGAGAAAAAAACCAAAAGTTGTTTTTTTTTTTTTTTTTCAAAGAAAAAAATCTTTAAAGGGAGCTGCTCAGAAGCGGCTACCCCAGGTGCCTTTGGAGAGAACTGTTGTTGTGCACGTGAGTCTGTGAGCCAGTGTCCGCTGTGGAAGGGGATTGGCCAAGCCAGGGTGCTGGAGAAGGTTGGCCAATACCCCAGGTGAGGCTAGCAACTGTGAATGAGACGTCAGGATCTGCCCTGGGTGAGGGGAGAGTTCTGACTCTCCTAGCTGTGTGGTGAGCTTGCCAGGCTCCTCTCTTATTCAGGGGTGTTTATTCCTGAACTTCAGTAATACTATGTTGCCTAATCTTTTATTTTTCTGATGAGATCTTAGGCAGAGTGAAAAGGCCTCTTACTCCTTCTGTTCTAAACAGCTTTTCTTGAAATCATGATTGAGTTTCTAATTCTACCCTCAGGGGCCTGTAGAAGTTGCTTCCTGGCCAGGAATCTGAAGCTTTTGGGGAGAGAGGGTGTTAAGGCAGGGGTTGGAGGTGTTTGGTGTTGGGGGTGGAAGAGAACTTGGGGCATGAAAACTTCACTTTGCTGCATGCTGCTTTGTGTGTCTGTGTGGCGAATAATTTGGGGATGATTTGCAATGGAATTTTGGGATCCAAAGAGTTTCCACTGGGGATATTTGTTGGCCAACATGCTTCTTTTTGGAACCACATGAAAGTCCTGGTGCTGCTACTATTCCTTTGAGAGGTGGCTCAAAAGCTACAAGGAACTCCAGGTCTTTCATTACTGCCTTCTTTGCAAAAGCACAATACTCCTTTCTCCTCTCCTCCCTCTCCCCTCTGGTTGGGTTTTCTAAGACAAGAGTTCTCAATCACTGTGCAATAGACCCCCAGGGTCCCTGGAGGCTCTGGAGAAGAACTGGCTCCCAGCACCTGCTAGTGATGGGTGGGGTTAGAGACCCAACTCTCCTGCCCTCCTTGGAGACTGTAACCAGGAGTTCTTCCTGGGCCAAAGAGGAGCGAGTGTCTGTGCTCTGCAGGACTACCTGGTATTCTTGTGGGGCTAACAATAAAAGCCAAATCTCCGGCACTGTTTTTTTCTCCCAGGTGCTTAGAGCACGTATGGGAGAGCTTGCTGTCCCTCTCACTAAAACCCAGAAGTATCTGTAAGTCTTGTGCAATATTTAATGTCCTGGACTGGGGAAGATAGAAAACTATGCTGGGAAGATGATCCCTTTCCTTCAGTTTCTCAGTGACATTAATGTGGGGCCCTCAGATGGCCTCGAGTCTCCAAAACTGAATCACCTTAAGAAGGACAGAGCTAGAGAATCTGGTCATGCTGGCTTCCCTATCGTGGTCTCTTAGTGAGGACTACACACACACACACACACACACACACACACACACACACACACTGTACCCCAAGTTGCCCTCCCTTACCTACTGCCAGTCTCCTCTGGATTTCCAAACTACTCAGTTTTGACTCAAAGGTGCTATTTACCAAACACTCCCTTGCCTCCTCCTGCCCTTCCACCCCTGGCTTTCTGCTGCCTTCCCCTACCCTGCTTCCAGCCTTTATTGCTTTAATGTTGACTGGGCCCACTGTCCAGGCACTGTTCTCCGGCCTGTGGGTTGAAAAAAAGCTGTGAATCACTGCGGATTGCTTTCCTGCCTCTCAGTCCACCAGCAAGCTCCTGACCTCGTAGAGCAGCCTGGTGACCTCATGCTTAATCTTCTCTCTTCTTGCTGATGTTCACTTTAAAAACAGCAAACCCCCCAGAGCTGGACTGTTGAGCAGGCCTGTCTCTCCATTAAGTAAAAGTAAATAATAGTACGTTTGTAAGCTATTCTGACAGGAAGGATAAAGGTTACTAATTGTATAATAGTGTTTTTATATGGAAGATTGTACAGCTTTATGGATAAATGTATACTTTTTTTGTTACTTTAATAAAAATGTAGCAGATGAAATCTGGTGGAGAGAAGGTCAAATTTCCTGTTTATTTTGCTGTATTCCTCTTCAGCTGCATTCAGGCAGCCTGCACTATGTAGATGGTAGAAGCGATAAACCTAGGTATCTGGCAGGTGGCATCCAAGCACCTGGCATTCCCTGAGAAGTCCCTGACAAACTGCTGCAAGTAACCGGCTTCTAGTCTATTCCTGCATCCTCACGGCTCTATCATAGGCATCTGCCTCTTCATTGCCCTTGGTTCTACTCATTCAGCAGACATGTACATGTACATCTGGCTCTCTGGATCCATGAGTTACATGCCCACAGGTGCAACCAACCACTGCTTAAAATTGTTCAGAAAAAAGAATTCAAGAAAACCTCAACAAGCAAAGCTTGAAGTGAGCCACCTGGTGAGCATGCTGCGGAACCCGTGTGCATGCTGCAGAACCAGCCCAGTACTGCGCAGCGGGCCCTCCAGCCTGTGTTGCTCAAGCAGTTCATGGAGTTGGGCCTACAGTGGTTGCATCTAAAGTACACATGTGCAGGCCTTTTCCCCTGTCATCCTCTAAACAATAAGTCTTAGCTATTTATATAGTGTTTACCTTGTGTTAGGTATGAGTAGCCTAGAGGTGAACTGAAAGTACATGGAAATATAAGTAGGTTAAATGCAAATACCGGGCACCATCTACAGAAGAGACTTGAACGTTCAGAGGTCTTGGCATATACATGTGGTCTTGGAACCAATTCCCCATGACTATGGAGACAATTTTTTTTCCCCTTTGCCAGGGAAGCGCTTATTCTGCTGAGCTATCTCCCCAGCCCCAAGACAATTATTTTTAGTAAGTGCTAGTCACTGGAAATAATTGAAAATGATTTAAGACATAGCCTGTCTCACAGGTCCACAGTAGTGGACAAGCTAATGGGGTCTTCTTAGGTTAGGGTGAGGTGGTTTGTAGTTCTAGTAAAGGAAGGTTCTCTCCTTGTGCTACTTGCCAACCTCATGTTAGACAGCCATGCCCTGGGGCCTGATGTGTGGCTGAATGCCATCCCCCCAAAGGAGCTAAAGAGCAGCTTCTCCGACATCACATGCTGGTGTGAGAGCCAAAGGTCTGTTATTGTATGCATGAGGACCTATGCAAGGAAATAGGAACCATCCCTCATCCCTGACTTGGATTCTTCCCGTAAGGTTTTGTTTTGTTTTGTTTTGTTTTTGCAGAACCGGGGATTGAACTCAGGCCCTTGCGCTTGCCAGGGAAGCGGTTATTCCACTGAACCATCTCCCCAGCTCCTCCATAAGGTTTTGACAGGTGCACAGTTCCCACTGAGATCACACGCAGGTTTTTTATCTAGGTTGAGTTTTTTTCATGGTAAGAGGTGGCTGTATTTAAATTTTACTATTGTTATTTTTGAGACAGGTCTTGCTATGTAGCCCAGGATGACCTTGACTTCATGACAGTCCTGCCTCAGTCTCGTGAGTGCTGGGCTTAGAGGTATGCACCATCATGCCTGATAAAGCCAAAAACCAAGAGCAGTGGTAAATGCCTATAGACCTAGCATTCCTGGGAGGCTGAGGTAGTGTTTAAATTTTAAGCATTTCTATTTACTACTTTGGCATCTCCCTCCTCATTTAATAACTTTTTTTTTTTTTTTTTTTTGCAGTACCAGGGATTGAACTCGGGACCTCATGCATGCCAGGCAGGTGCTTAGGCCACTGAGCTGTCTCTCCAACCTAATAACTTTCAAAAGCAAACATGCAGTATATTCTAAGTGCTACATCACAAGTAGACCAGGGAAGCTGTGTGATGTGTTTGTACTGGGTGAGAAGGGTAGGGGAAGCTAGAACCAGTGATAGAGGAGGTCTGGGAATTATATCATAAATAGAATTGGGTGTTGGGATTTGTATTGGGTACGTGTATTAAGGGATTGTAATTGATAGGAATAGTCCCATTTTCATTTATAGTTTCTAATTCAAATAGTCTAGACACATAAAAAGACTGGCTTTTTTGGATTTAAAGACAGGTCTAGAAATTTTTGCCAATTTTCTTATGCTATGCTGTGAGAGTTCAGGTCAAAGCCAGCATCTCACATTGGAGATACAGGTCAGTGGCACATCACCTACCTGGTAAGTGTAAAAGTTCTGTTCCCAGTATCTCCCCCCTAAAAACGCTATCAACTTTTATGAAATGATACTTGATTTTTGCACAAGGAACCTGAACTAAGACAAATTTCAAGAACTCCTTTTTTTTTTTTTTTATGGTGGTATCAGGGATTGAACTCAGGACCTTGCACTTGCCAGGCAGAAGCTTATTCTGCTGAGCTTTCTCCCCAGCTGCTATCAACTTTTAGATTCCTGCTTCCTGCCAGCCTCCACGCACAGAAGGACATCTCATATCTCATTGTGAGCCAGGCACCTGAACCTCAGGGAAGGCAGAAGGACATGTCCCTGTCCTGTGTCTTCAAGCCAGGGACAGTACAGAATGGCGGGTTTGTCTTGGGGTTGCTCCAGGTGCTTGCTAGACTAACCATTTCTCAGCTTAAACACAGAGATTCTGGATTCAATTAAGGAGCTGTTTGTTTCTAGACCTGGCCAGCAAGTGTGGGAGCAGAGAGTTCCACACCCAGGAGCAAGGCATCCACTGTTCCCTTCTGTTTCCAGGTTCCCCAGGGTGCACAGGCCCAGCCTGGAGACCTGTGCTGTTGGCTGCTGGACATGATAACGTGCCTCACCAGAGTGTAGACGATGCCCTGGCTGCTGAAGATTAAGTGGCCATCCTGGTTCCTGATAAGGAGTTTCGGGTGGGGGAGTCCTTAACACTGCAACAAACAAGTCCCAGGAGGAAGAAGCCACTTCTGTGGGGCTGGCATCGGCTTCCACAGCAGCCTTTGCTAAGGAAAGATAGTGAGGACTCAAGTGTCCTGCCCTGTTGGCCAGCGCTGCATCCCTGGCCACGCCAGGAGCAGCACCGTGGAGGGGCTCCAGGCTGGGAGGGAGAACTCATGGGCTTCTTATTCCCCAAACTAGCCGGTGTGAGTTCCAAGGAGCCCCTCAGCTTTTCCTGGCTTGGAAATCAGGAGGGTGGTTTAAATGACCTCTGTTCCTTGCCTCAGCTTTTGATTCTAAATTATCCTCATTATCCTGGCAATCACTGGAGGGCAAATTAGCACCATTATTATCATTCTTTTCAATTAGTTGAACTGAAAGGTCATTTGGACTGGAAAATGGAGTAAGTAGCAACCTGCTCTTGCTTGGGCCTGACTCCTGCTGGCTGAGGTCTCCATGTCCAAGCACAGAGAGGACGCCCTCAAGGAGGCCAGGAGCTCAGGGTCTGGTGCCAGGGTCTGGACCCTGGGGAGGTCTAATCTGCTCTGTCACCTACCTACTGGCGGTGCAACCTGATTGTTGAAGTTACCAGTCAGGACTCGATTTCCACAGAAATAAAATAGGGCTGAGAATGAAACCCATTTTATGATGTTGTTACAGAGATGCAGTGAGGTCCATAAACCACTTAGACTAAGCCCTAGTACACTGAAGTACTCAGTAAATGAAAGTGTTGCTCTGGGTAGCTGGGATCATCATCTCTTAAGGGCTCTGAACCAGTTTTCAGATGAAGGATGCTAGCACGCTGAAAATGGAACACATTATAAAGTAATAATGCTAGTTCAGTGCTAGAAAGCGTGCTTAGCAGGTGTAAGCTTGGGTTCCATGTCCAGCACTAAAATGAATAAAAGTACCAACTAGAACCTTCAGGAACGATTATGTCAAACTCCCTCAAAGAAGCCTGCAGTCTGGTCTCTCCCCTAGCAAGATGAATCCCAATCGTTTGTTTTAGAATCTTCATAACACAAAAGCCCTGGCTGATAGTAGGCATTTTATTTTATTATTATTTTTTTTAACATATTTGAGATCATTGTGGTTTTGTTTGTTTGTTTTTTGGTACTGTGGATTGAACTCGGGAGCTTGAGCTTGCCAGACCAGTGCTTAGGCCACTGAACTATCTCCGTAGCCTGTTGTAGGTATTTGGTACAGGGTCTCACTAGGAAGCTCAGATTCAGTGATCCTCCCATTTTCAGCCTCCCTGGTGCTGGGATTAGGTCTCAGTGGCCTGCTCAGCGCACTTGGGACGGGGACGGTACAGCATGTGGTGTTGGGGATCAAACCCAGTCCCTGCACTTGCCAGGCAGGCACTTAGTTCCCCGAGCTATCTCGCCAGCCCTCATAGTAGGCATTTTATAAGTACCTACTAAGAGAACAGTTGTTAACTGAAGGGACTTGTGGCTGACCTCTGTCATTCTTGTGGAAAAGTACAGTGCCCTTGCTAGACACCTGACCTCCTTGGCTCTGCAGTCTGTTTGTGGATGAATACCAGACTGGATTACGTGCTCATTCACACGGAAAATGGGTGGGGAGTGGGGCTTTCCAAGAGCAGCTCTCCTGACCTCCATTCCTAGGGTCTGTGGACTCACTCCCACGTGCTCGCCCTTTCCAGAACAGGGAAACCAAGAAGGGCAAGCCTGAGCTCCCTGGTTGCCTCTCCACACCGTTTCTTTGCAGAGCTGGCAGGAAACACATTGGAGTTTGGCCAAAGAGGCTGTCAGGGTCCTTGATAATAATCCTGTACAATTTTACACAAAACTGTTCCCTAGATGTGGATCCAATTGTTTTCTCTGCTTTAAGAACTGAACCCAGGGCCACAAAACAAAAAGGAAACAAAACCAAGAATGATTTGGCACTCCCCAGCAGCTCCAAGTCTCTTGGTTCCCAGTAAGAACCTGGCTGCACAACTCCCTACACCCAGTCCCACAAACAAGGGCGGGCCTCAATCCAACCCTTGTCCAGTAAACCGGACAGGCTGCCTACAGCACATCAGATAAGGGGAGGTAATAGCTGGGCGGGTTGCGGTGAGAACTAGTTTATTTTCTGAGGGAAGGGGCCCTTTACAGTTTGATGGGTAGCAGGCAGTAAAGCAGTGAGGACAGCTGGACAGAAGAAGGCATAAACCTAGAGGGAGTAGACACCCTACCTATAAAAAGCCT